GACACAATCTATGCCAGATGCAGAGCACTTCCCCAAGACCAGTCCAAGTGGGTTTTTGCCAAGTTTTCTTTTCTCTTGGTGTAGCTTTTTGTAGTGTGGAGATCCTTGGCGCCTGTTTTGAGTCTTTTTCGAAAATTGTCTCATGTCAGTGACAATTGGAGGCCATTTGAAAGGTGTTTTAATGGAAAATGCAGTTCGATTGTCGCGTCATCCCAGGCATTGTCCACCTGGCGCGCTGTGCGATAAAAATATGGAATGGTAATTGCAGATGAAATTTCATCAAGTCAAAACCTGCTTGCATCGAAGAGAATCGAGTTGCGTTCGCTACGTGTTTTGGGGTTTAACTTCAAACTGAGGCAAGAAAGAATAGAAGCTGCATTGAAACTGTGAGAAGAGTCTTGTGACCTAACACGTCTTAATATATAATCTTAAAATAATAATTTGAGAGTCTCCTATGAGCGCTCTTTGCTATATTTATCCGTGGGTTCGTGTGAACTCTTTCAGTATTCGTATCTGTATCTGCAGATAGTAAACTTTCTTCTAGCTAAAACTTCTATCCAGTTATTTAATCTTACATTTACTAACACAAACTCCACTCTAAAATAATTTCAGGAGGTTCGCCCCAATACCATACCGGATCCAAAAGTAGATGCCACTTTTCGTAGGGTGGCTAAAAATGCAATTACCTTTTCGTTGTGGAAAATTGATGAGGATCGCCTGGAGGCTGTGGCCCGTTCACAGTATGGAACCTTCTATGACAACAGCGCCTACATAATATATGCAGCCAATCTGGTGGGGCACTATGCCAATCACGAGACCATCGTAGGTAGACCCAAACATCCCACATACACAGGTATAACTCATATGATATTCCCATTTTAGACACGCGAACAGAAGCCCAATGTGGTGCTGGAACGATATATACACTATTGGTTGGGCAGAAATGTCAGCGAACAGAATCGCTCCAATGTGATGCACAAGATTCAGGAGCTGGACTCGTATCTGGGAAATGTGGGGGCCATTTACCGCGAGACACAGAACCACGAGAGTCCGCGTTTCTTGTCCTATTTCAAGAAGGGATACGAGTAAGTTTATCTTTGATACAAATTTCAAGCCATAATGATCTCTAACTAGAAATTTCTTTTAGTATTCTTTCGGGCGCGTTGATCAACTCTCCACAGAGGCCACGCCTGTATCAATTGCGTTCCCGGAAATGGCTGCGTTCCATAGAGCAGGACACCATTGAGTGGTCGCACTTTAACTCGGACTACATCATGGTGCTGCAGACAGAAACCACGACATTCGTCTGGATCGGACGTTCCAGTTCGAACATTGAGCGGCGCAGCGCCTTGACCTGGGTGCAGAAGCAGAACAGCGGTTGTCCGATTGTCATTGTGGATGATGGCTACGAGCAGGCCATGACAGCAGCACAGAAGGAGCTGTGGAACGCACTGCTGCCGCTGCAGAAGCGAATGGTCTGCCAGGCCAGTCAGCTCGTTACCGAATACGCAGACTCTAGCAGCAACAAATTTCGCATCTACAAGTGCAATCTTCGTGGACGCTTGCATCTGGATCAGTTGGATGTGGGCCTGCCGGCAAAGGATGATTTGAGCGATGCCCATGGCGTCTACCTATTGGATAACTATGGCCAAAGCATTTGGCTCTGGGTGGGTGCCCAGGCACCTCAGGCAGAAGCCCTCTCGGCCATGGGCAATGGTCGTGCCTTTGTGAAGAAGAAGAAGTATGCGGACAACACTTTGGTGGTTCGCGTCGTAGAGGGCCATGAGCCGGTCGAGTTTAAGCGTCTGTTTTCCAACTGGTTGAACTTGGGGCAGGAGAACACACGCGGCCACAAGCCAGTGTCCACAAAGTTCGGCAAACTGGATGCCCATTCGCTGTGCGAGCGACCCAAGATGGCAGCGGACACACAGCTGGTGGACGATGGCAGGGGAGAGCGAGTGGTATATCGAGTGTTGGGCGATCAGGTGCAGGAGCTGCCTGCCTCAAAGACAGTGGTCTTTACCACCAATGCCAGCTATGTGGTCAAGTACAGTGTGCAGGTAAATATCCATTTCATTCCATCCCAAAATCAGCTTTGAAACTAAGCACTAACTCCATCTGTAGTGCGCAACTGTTGTGCCGGCAGATCTGGCATCGGTGGGCATAAAGAGCATAATCTATCAGTGGAACGGCTCGGAGGCCTCGGCCGAGTCCATTGCCACAGCGAATAACATTGCCATGGTCGCATTTGAAGCGCTCAAGGAACCTGGGATGTTGGTTCAACTCTATGAGTTCGATGAGCCACCGCATTTTCTGCAGATCTTCGACGGCAAGCTCATCATCATGCGGGGACAGCGCAGCGAGATGCTGTACTGCAACAACAACAACAACGGGGACCTCAAGACGAACGTGATGCTGGAGACATTCCTGCTGAAGGTCTACGGAGACGCCAGCTACAATTCCAAGGCAGTGGAGGAGCACCCGCTGTCCTCTATCACTTCCAAAGATTGCTACGTGATCAAGACGAGCCATGTGTGGGTCTGGTGTGGCCAGAGCAGCACTGGGGATGCCCGCGAAATGGCCAAGTCGGTGGGTGCTCTCATGGGAGAGTACACGCTCATTCTCGAGGGCAAGGAGAGCAAAGAGTTCTGGCAATCGGTGGCCATGTACTTCAACCAGTCTCTCGTTATCAATGGCCATGCTAGTTCGTGCGGCAGCAGCACCACCAGCAGCAGCAGTGGCGCCGGCAGCATGTGCAACGGCAGCTCCAACGGTGGCAGTGTCTCCCCCACATTGAGCAACAATTGCTATCTCAACACGTGCGTGCCGTCAAAGCCGAGGCCACCGGTGCAGCTGTTCCTGGTCTGGTGGCAGCAGAGCTCCTTGCGCTACGAGGAGATCATTGGCTTTGATCAGCAGGATCTCAGTGCGGATTGCACCTACATACTGGACACTGGCACCCTCACCTATGTCTGGCTGGGAGCCCAGGCACAGCAGCAGGAAAAATACACCTCCATTGCCCAGTGCTATGTTCAGAATGCTCCATTCGGATGTCGATCGGCCACTGCCTTGGCCGTGGTGCGGCAGTATCAGGAGCCAAATGTGTTTAAGGGTTTCTTTGAATCCTGGCAGAATAAATACGGAAAGGTAAGCTCTTCGAATGTACCTCAATGACCCTTGAAATCGAATCTGATATTGTTGCAGGATTTCCTATCCTACGAGCAAATGCGCAAGGAACTGGGCAGCAACGCAGCTCCTAGTAATATTGCCGCAGTCAATGGCACCTCTCCGCTAATTTCAAACGATAGACAGAAAGATTTTGATGGGCATAAAAAGTACCCATTGCCAGTGCTGACTCAGGAGATGGATATGCTGCCGGCTGAGATCAATCCGCTGAAGCGAGAGGTTTGTTCCAGTACTCAAAATAAAAAGGGACATTCCCATTAAACAAATTCCTTTTCTTCCTGCAGGTGCACCTCACTCATGATGATTTTGTGTCCGTTTTCAAAATGTCTTTTTACGATTTCGATGAGCTTCCCAAGTGGAAGAAGACCGAGCTGAAAAAGCTGTACAGATTGTTTTAAGCCGTGCATCGAGTGGGCACTGTACATAAAAATCCACATAAAAATCCATTACTAGTAAAACATATTTGAAGAAATTTATGTTACATACTATACACACTTTACGTAGATATAATAAAGAAGGAAAACTCTTTGAATTTCACAAGAACTAGAAATATGAATCAAATTGAATTGGCACAACCATATCAGGTGGTTTCCACCTCCTCGGAATCAGGCTCATCCCCGCTGTCTGAAGCTGTTCAACAAAGAATTTCATAATTTTCATAATATTTTCACACAGCAAAACGATTACAACTTACAGGGAAACAAAAGACCGAAAATGAACTCGAAAATTCCACCAAGTAGATCCCAAAACATTTTTGATCTGCTGTGCTCAACGTTTTGTAACTAAGTACAAAGACATTACGGATCGGAAACGGTTTTGAATTTTATTTTATGTGGCCCAGACCCCCATTTAATGAGCCGCAACGCGATCAAAAACGAAAGAGTAATTCGGGCTTATTTCGTAGCCAAAGCGATTGCATGATCTAGGTCAATCATGGCCACAAAAATAATATGTATTTTATTCCTATTGAAAAGCATTTAAGTGGTCAAATCAAATTTTATTTGTTGGGTTTTATCATGCTATTCAGATTATTTCAATTTTGGTCGTAATAGTAATCGCCAAAGTATTCTGCGTCCGCTTTAAGAAATAGGGAACACTAATTAAAACTATAGTTAGAGATGCTACACAAGTTACTCACTTATGTCGGAGAAGAATAAGTCGTTGAGGAAAGCCAGAAATATTTCAATAAGCTCACAGCAATCCATGGTGTATGATATAACTCTGGACAACGGGTAGATTTTGTATTTATAGGAGATAAATGTTGAAGGTTAATGCTTCGCATGACCATTATTGCGAGTAATTTAATTAATGTTATAATATTCATTATAGAATATTATTTTTGGGCATTTTTATAATGATTTCTGTCGCACTAAGAGTCGTAATCGTCATTGCTGGTGTCGGCTGAAAATTCAAAAATATTTTTAAATGGTTTTAGTGCAATTTAAATCAGGAGAAATGAAGCTAAATCTTTGCTTTTGTATGAATATTACTTATCCAGTTCCTCTTCTTCTATATCCTCCAACTTACTGCCGAATAGTACATCCCCAATGAACTCCAATATCATTCCAATTATTTCACAATCCTCCATCACTTTTTCTTTATGACTTACAAACTTTTACTAAACCCTAGAGCCCTCAACAAAGGTTTTATATACCTACAAATTGGTCAGGAATTGCCTCATGATATGTATATCTGTAATAGTATATCTGTTTTGAACTTGGTACATTTAAATGGCTAAGCGTTCATACTTCATTTAATGATAATCCATTTCGTTATAAAAGCCATTTTGTTGGTTCAGCATGATGCTACAAACGTTTAAAGCTTAAAACATAGTTTTATTAAAAAAACAAACAGATTTATTGCAGCCATTTCAATATACGTCATAGCCATACATGGGTCCCTCCATGTAGGCCTTCTGTTGGTCCGTGGAATTGCGCCGGATTCTTCTGCCAATGGGCTCCAAATCCGCATAGCACTTGGGAAAGACTCGCTCCACTGCCGCAATAGCATCTGCTTTGCTTATATTACGCACAGCCAGCACAGACGCCAGAGCCTTAGTCTTGACACAGTTCTAGGTATCATAATAGATCAGGATTAAAAGACTTTCCATACGAATTTACATTGAAATTGATTCACCCACCTGATGCGCCTCTTTTACGTTAAACGGCGATGCATCGCCCTGGAACATGGCACTCAAAAAAGAGCAATGCGCGAGGTTGGCAGCACGGATCTCCGTACACGCCAGGTGATCCACATTTTTAAAGTCCAGATCGTTGTTGCAGTAGTCGAACATGTGTATCATTTCATGCGTGAGCACCCCGTGCACCATGCTCTTGTTCTTGGCCATATTCTGGCAGACCACAATCTGATTTAACTTGGGATCGTAGCCACCAGTCACCGAGGGATCGCATACCTCACACGAGATGTGCCGACGCAGATCGATGGGGCACCCGGAGCTCTTCAGGGCACCCATCATTAGTTTGACCAGGGGACCATTCTTTACACACCAATAGACATTCTGTTCACACTTGTAGCGGTCAATGCTCTCCTGGCCCTCCAGGCCGAAGAGAATGCGTGTCCACTTGGGCTTAAAGGTTACACCGCGTCGCTCCGGATACAGATCATAACCCCAATCCTTACTCTCATTGCTGGGCGGCTGGTCGCTGGACGGTAAGTCCTGAACATGCTGGGAATCGGCTGCTGCGGCGGGGGTAGTTGATTGTTTTTCCTTTCTGGTAGTGGGCGTTTCAGTGTCTATTGACGTAGGCGCTTCTTTGGCCCACACTTTAGTCAGGAAATCCATATTTAATGGATTTCTATATCTCCACTTGGTTGAATAACAAACCGGCAGCTGATTTGGACAGCGTTGCCAGACCGCTTTAAAATCGAAGGGGAGTTAATATGTTGACATTTTCAATTAGCTGAAAAAGATTGATCGTTGATCTAAATCCTTAAATTCGTATTTATTGAATTGTGCAAACAAAAGTCTCTTTTACAACAGGTGTATCGCCAGGTAGCTCTGTTGCTTGTTACATGTCTGTGTAGTTGACATGCAGGCAACTCTACATTCATACTGCCGCGCATTTACTCGATTTTCACAGCAAATACCACTTAACAGCTGATTTGGTCAGCGTTGCCAGAACGCTTTTAAATCGCCAGGTGGCTCTGTTGCTAATTACATGTCTGTGTAGTTGTCATTCAGAAAACTCTACATTCATACTGCCGGCATTTACTCGATTTTCATAGCAAATACCACGTAAGATTACAATTACACACTCATCCATTGGTCCCAATCACTCAAATTATGCACCGTGCAATAAGCCAGCAGTTAGCGATATTAGCGGCATTAGCTTTAAGCGTGAGTTGGTGTGCCGCCGATGTTCCACGTCCCCGCGGAGTTTCGCTCATAAAGGCAGCGCTATATCAGCCCCGAGCTGGCGACAATAGCTGGACCTGCTTGGATGGCAGCAAAACGATTCCCTTTGTCCAGGTAAACGATGACTACTGCGACTGTCCGGACGGGAGCGATGAGCCGGGCACATCAGCGTGTGCCCAGGGCCAATTCCACTGCCTCAACAAAGGTCACGAGTCGGTGGACATTCCCAGTTCGCGCGTCCAGGATGGCGTCTGTGACTGCTGCGACGGCAGCGATGAGTCACAGGTGGTTGGGTGTGCAAACACCTGTGCAGAGTTGGGCGCTGCAGCTGCCATTCAGCGCAGGAATCAAGCAGAGCTCCACAAGCAGGGCGCCGAAAAGCGGATGGAGATGATAACACGAGGCAGACAGCTGAGAGCAGATAGAGAAACCCGCCGCCTGGAGCTGGAGCGACGCATTAAGGATCAGGAGGCTCTCAAGTCCGAGAAACAGCAAATCAAGATCAACGCCGAGGCCTTGGAGAGCGATGCTCTGGAGATCTTCAAGGAGCAACAACGGGAGCTGGATGCCGATACCGTTCAGGCCGAAGAGGAGCCCCAGCAAATGCGCCAGGAAGCCTCGCTCAGTTTTGGAGTGTATGATATCAACAAAGATGGCTTCGTGGAGGTCACCGAGCTGATGGTGGACATCAATCTCGACCGCGATCGCAATGGCGTTGTCACCGTGGAGGAGGCCAAATACTTCTTGGATGAGCGAGAGCGTGTGGATTTAGATGCCTTCGTCACGCTGGCCTGGCCACGCATCAAGCCCTTGAAAATGCTGGCCGAGGGTCTGTTCCAGCCCCCAAATGCGGATGAGCAGGTTCCACCAGTCGGAGAAGTGCCAGTTAAGGCGAATACTGAAGGAGTCCAGCAATCGGAACCACAGCCCACCGAGGGTAAGCCCCTTGTCCCTAATCCCTTGTCACAAATTCGTTGTGGATGTTTATCTAACCAGAATTACGTTTGCAGAACAAATCGACATGGAAGCTAGCACGGATGGTGAGGCTGACGAAGATGGCGACGATGACCAGTACGATGACGAGGAGGGAGATGTGGGTGTGGGCGAAGCCTCGCCGGAAATTGAAGCTCCTGCACCGCCCGTCTATGACCCAGAGACGCAGCGTCTCGTCGAACAGGCCAACGAGGCCCGCAATGCTTTGGAGGAGGTCGAGCGCAACATACGCGAGATCGAACAGGAAGTAAAGGAGATCGATGAGCAGAGTGCCAAGGACTATGGCCCGCAAGAAGAATGGGCAGTGTTGGACGGCGAATGCTATAACTTTGAGGATCGTGAATACGTGTACACTCTGTGTCCGTTCGACAGGGCCTCGCAGAAGCCGAAAAACGGTGGAGCCGAGACCACGCTCGGTCGCTGGGAGCAATGGATTGGCGAGGGATACAAGTACTCAAAGCAGAAGTACGGCAATGGTGCCGCCTGCTGGAACGGCCCTCAGCGGTCGGCCATTATCAACATTAGCTGCGCCCTGGAGCCACGTATCACGTCTGTCGGCGAGCCCAATCGCTGCGAGTACTACTTTGAGTTTGAGACACCAGCCGCCTGCGATAGCGAAGCTCAACAGGCGGAGAGCGTTCACGACGAACTTTGAGAATACGATGAAACGGTAATGTGTGGATAGCACGAAGAGATTCGATTTTTGAGGCGGATTGTATTTTAGTTGTAGTGAGCCGAGTTGAAACTTTTGAAATTTCAAATTTGTCGCGATCATTCCCATGCTGAAAGTAGCGAGGGCGGCCCAAGCGCGTGCGAACATCATTAAGAAATATAGTGAAATCATTCAATCTATGCATTTAAGCAAAACTTAAGAAAACATGCTTCAATTTGAATAAAGTGTAAACAGTTAGTATTTTTTAAAAATATAAATTTATATAGTAAATGGTTTTGGTGTGGTGTATGTATGTTTATTACTCGGTGACGGCCTGCTTGATGTCCTCCAGATAGCCGTCCACCTGATGCTCCAGGGCGAGAATGTGACCCGTATTGCAGTTTTCCGAACCCACAAAGGTCAGTATCAATGGCAGCTTGTTCATTTGGACCACTTGATAGTTGGAATACATCGAAATGATGGTCTTGTTGCGACCCAAGCCCAGCTTGCTGGCCTGATCGCAGGCTGTCGTGAATGTGGGTATGAACGAGGGCATAAGGGCGAAATCCACATTCTTTTCCTGGCTGACTCGGAGGAGTGGAACGCCATCACGATCCGTTATCTGTATGACGTGCAGGCCACTGACCCTGCAACGAGAGGCGAGGCGGAATATGTAATTTCAGCTATAATACATTAACTCCTGCTGTACATACTTCTCTAGCAGGCCATTGAAATACTTCTTAATGTCGTCCGACATGGATAATGAGCAAAATGGCGACGGAAAAGACTAAAAAACTTAACTTTTTTGAACATTCACAGCTATTTACACAAAACAAACCACGAAACAGCTGATCCAACTATCGATATAAATTAAATATTACGATATCGGTAAGAACGGTCTGATGTGTGGAAAAATAGTTTTTATGGAAGTTTATTAATTTTACAGAACTAAAAAACAACTTAAAGTGGTTTTCTAGTGTTCGAATAGCTTAGGGCAACTTCCAGTATGGTGACAGGGGATCCCGGGGCCACAAATCCTACATCTACAGCCGGTTCAGATGATGACGACTACACATCATCCATGTCCCACCTCACCATTGGGCAACAAATACAAGAGCTGTCCAAGCGGCTGCAAAACACCACAGAGGAGCTGCATCAGCAAGTGCGTGACAAGCATGGGGCGCTGCTGCAGCAGGCCACCCATGCAGGACGCTTTGATGCCGCTCTCAACACGCTAGCGGAGGAGGTGCAGCGCGTACGGGAGACCGGACATCGCCTCAAGACCCAAGTGGACACGCAATACCAATTGGTGGAGAACCAAACTCAAGTGCTCGGTCGCCTTCATGATGTCAGCCATTTGCTGCGCTCGGCCGGAACGCTTCTTGCTCTGACGGCCAAATTGAAAAGCACCAAAGATGTGCTGCGTCAAGCAGAGCTCCATTTCGAGCTGGCGCAGTTAATAGATGACAAGGACTTGAAGGACATAGAGTTTGTACAAAAGGAGCGTGCATTTGTGATCAGCTCGGGTCAGAAAATTCGTAACCTAACCCAGATGCAATTGGTTACAGGACTCCAGGAGCGTAATCAAAATCAAGTGGTTAATGCATTGAAGGTGGGTTCCGGAACCGTAGATGGGACCTGTAAATAATCATTATAACCTTACAGATCTTCATGAACTTCAATACGCTGGAGAAATCGCTTGACAACCTGTTGGCCACATTCATAGCCGACATGGAGCAATCCCTTAAAGAGTGTTTTGCCGGCAACGATATTTCAGTGCTCAACAAATCGCCCACGCACGGCAGTGGCAGCTCCACGAGCAAACCTGCTGCATCCCGGGGCCCGGGCAAGACGCCACAGTTGACTACAACGCAAAATTATCGTGCAAAGTTCTGGAAATCTTTGCACTGGCTGCTGTACGACGAGCTCTATGAAAGTTGCACCCAGATCAAGCTGCTCAAAGCGGCCCTGGAGCTAATCAATCAGTTTGGTTACACTTCCGAGTCTTCGGATCAATATATACCGCAGCGCTTTTGGCAGAATGTGCAGCAGCTGCTGCGAAAATCCTTCGATGAGTGCTCATCGCATGTCACCCAGACCCTGCAGGAGGGTCTGTCCAAGCTGCTAACTTCGGCGCGTGGCCTGGAGCAGCGTCTGAATGGAGAATTCCTGTTTGAGAACGAACTGTTTGCCCCTCTGGAGGTGGGTTATGTGAGCAAGTGCGCTGCCAACATGAAGGCCTGCCTGGCTGGCGTGGACTTGCCAGGCAATGAGACGGTGGACAACTTTATACGCGTGGCTTCCACGGAGCTAAGTGCTGCCTTGATTGACGGGCGACTGACAAACTCCATAGCGAATGTCTTTATCGCCTGTGGCAAGGAGCTGTGCACCAAACTGGAGGCGCAAATCAAATTAGGGGCCGACTCCAAGCAGGTTGTGGACCTGCCCAATCTTCAGCAACAACAGAATACCACGCTGGCAAATGTTCTTTATTACTACAAGGACTCAGTCCGTCGCATGCTGAGCGATCTGCAAGTTCAGTTCGAAAAGACCCCAGGAACGGCTAAAGAAAACATTTCCCGCTCCCTGGAGCAGGCAGATTTGCTGATTGGAACCATTTTGCAGCAGATTATGGAATCAATCATTACAACCATAAGCATCATTATACTAAGCATGCATCGTGAGCCGGGTCTGAACTCGGACAGGCTATCCACATCGGGTCCCTCAATGTACATGAAGGAATTGCAGGTGAGTTTTTAGTTGATTTCTAATTTTCCGTTTGTTGAAAACTCATTTGTTTGCAGGAGTTTGTCAGCCGTTCTTGGTCTCACCACATTGCCCTTTTCGATGACAAACCCATG